TGGATGGTTTTGTTTGGCTCGGCCCTCGGCGGGTGTGGCTGGATCTGCTGAAGCCGACACTGAAACAGATCAGACGTAAGTAGCTCGCTCATTTTGGTTCTTACTGGATTTTGCAGTCCAGCAGCACTGACTGAAAACAGATATTTTCAAAATGGATGTAAAATATATAAATTTGAGGAACTGTGCAAATGCAGGTTCCTAGTGAGTTCTAGTCCTCTAGTAAACACTGTACACAGACTTAAATCAAACACTAGATAGATTATAGGAGAATGTATTAGTGATCTTTCTGTAGGGTGAGACCTGAATATCCAAATATTCGTTCGTTGGTAGGTAATCAGTTTTAGTATTCAGATATTCGAGACCCCCTGCTGCTGCCGCACAGCAGTGCCAGTGACACCTACAATCTTGTTGGCAAAGTTTCATGTGTAAATCTTTCAGGTAGCAGCTTCTGTCGATCTCACATCAGTGATGGAAATGTGTCACATTCTGTGCACACAAATGGTTATGAACAGCTGTATTCTGTTCATCTGTTACATTAAATATTAGATAACTTTTGTTTTTTAACCCAAGGTACAGTCAGATGGGCAAAGAGGTACTTTTGAATATTGGACAGTTATTACCACTGAAGAGCTGGAGCCCAGTCATTTGGGACAGCCCTACTTTTTTGTGTCTCTGTCTTTCTCTTCCCACCCCTTCATTCTTAAACATGTCTCATTACTTTCCTCCTTCAGGGCCTAAAAACACCATCCTTCGTTTTGTGGTGAAGTTCTTCCCTCCTGACCACACACAGCTCATGGAGGAGCTGACTCGGTAGGTCTTCTCAACACCAAAGCCACACCTTTGTGAAGAACTTCCTAAAATAACAGACGGGCTATTCTGTCTAGCCGGAGTGTTTTCTGTCCTTCAGGAAGATTTAAAGTACCAGTTCTATCTGAAAATAAAGCAGGGTAACAATATGTTTCCATCTTGTTTTGTACATTTTGTCATTCTTGGTCAGCTGCTTTCCATTTCTAACACATTTATATCCACAGGCCATAACAAGAGGGGTTTTTTCTTGGACTCAAAGACATTTCATGTTTCATCTGGGAGCCAGGCTCATAAGACATTTGTTGTTCCAAACCAGCTGAAAGGAGATGAATGCTCCGACTACTTGTGGGTCTTTTATTCATAGTTTTGGGAAAAAGCTGTTTTACTATAAAAAGACTTGCATATTTTGATGATAACGTAATCTCAGGCATCCATCTCTATCTGGAGAAGCATCTTTTTTCCCCTGTTAGAATTTAAAAATGAGATTTATAGGACAAATGCTCATGTTCCCACCTTTTGGCTCAGTTCTTTTCACCTCTGTTTAGAAAGTAGAAATTCTCATCCTTGTTTTGTTTAGTCTGACTGAGCTCACTGGGGCCAACTGCACTGTTTGTGTTTGTCTAAGCTCATTCAGGACTTCTACATTATAGCGCTACTCTGTGTCACATAACAAAACATAAGTAGTAGGATGATCTGACCTTCAACACGTTCCCATGACGCTGTGGTTCCCTCCAGCTTCCCAGCTGGTTTTTACTCAAGACCAAAGCCAAGCAGGAAGTGAACATAGTGTCTGTCATCTGTGTCGGGATCTCTCGAGACTGAAGAGATACTTAGAATTTCATAAAATCCCACCCCATATTTATTATTTGCTTTTTTAAAGTAATTTAGTCCCTTCCTCTTCATATAGTATTTTTATTATTAGTGGTACAGTAGGATCCGTCGTTTCAGGTTCAAGTTAAATTTAAGAGCTTTTAAATACCCCATAGAATGAAAATGTAATTCCTGATTCATGACTATACCATCTACAGAAGGAACATATGATGGAAAACCAGCAGGGATGATATGACCTAATATCATTTATATCACATTTTTAGTACTTCCCAGCAGTATAACGATAATTCCTAATGATTCAATCGTTAAAATTAGTGTGACCTGGACATCCATTTAAGTTCATTCAAACCAAAACTGGCGCTTATCTGTTATGACATCTGCGTGCAGCTCATGGCGTGCACGAGGGGTTCACAGGAGACGATGCATTTACCGTTTTTAATTTGATGTCAGCCTCATTGTTCAGTAGTCATTTAGCTGCAGCTGTATCAGTGTTGCATGAAGTTACTGCTAATGCAGACCCAGCTTTTCCTGCACTTGCTGCTTCACAATGAAAGCATTCAACTGGCCAAACTTTTATTGTGAAGCAGTCGCAGGAAGCTTGGTGTCACTGAGATTAGTGCTGACAAGCATAAACAGCTTTACCACGCTCTGCTGCTGTGTGGAAAACTACTAGGGCTCTGGCACCATGAAATAGCAATGATTATTGGCTGACTTCACTAAAACAAAGTGAGGTTGTTTGTCTACACTGTGTCAGGAATACACCAGCTCCTCTTCTGTTGTATTCCTGACACAGTAACTGCTCAACCTCGCTGTAGAGCCACACCACACTTGCCATTACCACCATTAATAATGTGAAGAACCGGGACAGAAGTCTTTACGACTTTCATACCAGAATATAATGACCAGTCCAGGATGCTGTGCATATTTTCCACTGATATTGTTTGGCCTCTCAGCTGGGCAGTATACTCCACTGTGCCAGCTGACTCCAGCATTAACAGCCTCTTTCCTTTGTTTGCCTCTCACAGTGTTTCACTGTTGATGGGTAATGTGGCAACAGACAGACCAAGTGTGCCGATGGACAGATGGCAGAAAGCTTTCTTTGAGGGTTGTCATTAGCCTTTTATTGAAACTGGGACACTGGCCACTCACCGTTACTTTAATATGCTGGTGGTGATGTGTAATATACAGCAGTCAGAGATTTTACGGACTTGTCGTGTTTTGCTGCTGTTTATTTTTCTCATGTTGCTTATGCGTTACAATAGCAATGTAAACTGTGAATGTAATAAGGTTACGTTGTCCATTACAGAGTATCTTGAAGAGTTAGAACTGGCAAGATGTATTTCACACTCAATTAGCTTGGCGTTTTTACAGTAAATAATAAAACTGCCTGCGCCTGTTTGCCTCAAGGCTAACATAAAACAATATGAGAACATCACTTCACTCATTAACTTTATTAGCAAGGTGATCACACAGTTATAAAAAGGTTGAGCTGGACTCTCATAAAGAGCTGCTGTGAGCCATCAATCACACACTCGCACACACAGACGTGTACCTGTGCCAGTCGACTGTCTGTCCCTGTACTGTATGCGAGCTGGTGAGGTCTTATGAATTTTGTCCTTGTCAATGACTGTTTGTTCATTCACTCTTTTATTCTTTGCCACCCAGTAATATGTAACAATTCTCAAAACTGACAATACATAGGCGTTATTCTCTTTGAGCTGATGTACAGTAGCAGGTTTCAAGGTCACCTGTCCTGATGCATTAGAATCATCACACTAACACACACCTCTCCACTGTCTCTGCTATTACTTAAAGTGAAATGCAGCATCATGACTTAGCAACGTGTGTGTGGGTGTGTGTCAGTGACTCCAGTTACGAGGCCCAGATCCTGTTGTAAGCAGCTGACTCTATAATGATTAACAGAAATGGGCTTTTTCCACTTAGCAGTTGGTTTGAAGTCAGTAAATGCAAAGTAGCAGCTGTATGTGTGTTTGAATGTGCAAAGATGCCAAGAGCTTGATGGTAATGGAATTGTTTTTTACAGCTGCTGAGTTTAGAGTGTGCATTAACCTAACAACCTCTCCCTTTCTTCTTCTATTTGACCTCTTTGCTTTCTTCCTTTTCTCCCTTTCCAACACACTCGTTTATCTCTGTGCCAAATCTTTTAATCTTTCTCCATCTCTATTTTGGCTTATCTTTCTTTAGGTATTTGTTTGCCCTGCAGATAAAACGCGACCTGGCCTGTGGTCATCTCATCTGTAACGACACCAGTGCTGCTCTCATGATCTCACACATCGTTCAGTGTAAGGGCAACAGTTCATCAAACAGAAAAGTTCTTTGTAGGCATGCAGCTCCTCATGTTAATGTAGCTGTCAGTCACATGTCTGAAGATACACCTAAGGCACTTTCACATTACAAAATTAATGAGCTAATCTGATGTTGTTAAGGTTTGTTTCCCCTTATGTGTGCAGGGTAAAGAAATGTCATGTGCATCATCTGCCACATATCATATGTGCACTGTGGCTCTTGCTGTAAATGTCCTGTTAGGTCTGACTAAGGACATAATGGGCACCTGCATTTACTAAACAAAAAGCCATCCCCTTAACAGCTTGGTGAAACCAGCAAGTTGACATTTCCCATATCTGAAAAGAGTTCTAGCCTTATTGTACGAGCCAGTGTAATGAAAAAACCTGAATGCTTTGTTTGTATGTGGAGAGACTGACCACAAAACAACAAATACACAAACACATTGCCTATGGGGATATTCAAGCAGTGTTTACCATGGCTAGTGTGCTGCTGGTTTGGGTTTAAACCAGTTTAGTTTAACATTTTACTAAATAATTGACAAAAAGAGCATCATTTTAATGGAATGCTCTCTGCCTTTAACATCAGGAGAAAAGCATCTCACAGTTGGGATCCTTTGCTGGGATTCAGCCCACTCAGTGTTTCCCTCCTGTCACTCATATATAAAGCACCAGTATTCCCAGTAGCGTTATGCAAGGTGTTTGAATGAAATGAACCCTGTATGGGAGTATTTCGGCACTGTCTCACCTCACTGTGTCTTTTCACCAGCACCCTGTACACCTGCTCGTGTTTGTCAGTGATTGTTGTTGTTCTGCACCATACGTATGTGGAGGTTGTAGAATATATGGATTCACACACGTCTTGCAGGCAGCGGCGCGACATGCTCAAGAATCTCACCTCGTTGCCATGGTAACCATCAGTGCTAGTGTATGTTTGAGCACCTGCAGGTGGTACAATATAAGGGATTGCTGTGTTGGACAAATGGAGACACACATGAGCACACTTCATCTGATCTACAGGAGGACAGACTGAGCCTATATAAGATTAGAAAAAAATAAAGCAGGAGAATTAAATCACAGAAGTTAAATGATGTATATGTTCTTTCTTGTTGTGACTACATGCCTGCTTTTCTCTTCGTTTTCGCTCCAAATAAATATTGTATTCTCCTGCTTTCCTCTCCTCTTCCCTGTCCCCTTCAGCTGAGATCGGAGACTTCGATGAGACCCAGAGCTGGCAGCATCTCCTCCACAATAAGTACCTGCCCGACCAGGACGCCATCAGGGACAAGATCATTGACTGCCACCGCAAGCACGTGTGAGTTCCCACGTGCATGTCCACACATCCATTTAGTGTTCACTCCACATGGGTAAAATGGTATAGATAAAAATGAAGTGTCTGGTTCTGAATGGAAAAAGCTGCTGTGTGCTCAGTACATATGAAAGCATTACAATGATTTCATATGAAAAAAATGATATAGTAATTAGGCTGTTTCAGTCTGTAGACTGAGAGCTCTTCAGATCTAGTCTTTTATATGACTAGCACTCTAAAATCCAGTGACATTAATTTTACAGTTTGTGAAACTGGAAAACGCTCCTACAACCAGGCACAAGGACAGTTTCTAACCCCGGGTTGTTACTCTGATGAACACTTGGCCCACGACAGTATGACTGGACAATAAACCCTCAGTGCAACACCTGTAAATATTCATTGTACATATAGATCTGTTGAATCCAGACTCTGTGTGTGTGTGTGTGTGTACAGGTTTCTATTTCTAAGTACTTTACTATTATTTTTTATCTCTTTTCCTAATGCACATTCCTTTGCTTGTTGACATGTACGTACACATTGAGAGCTGCTGTACCAGAGTCAAATTCCTCATGTGTCCAAAACACTTGGCCGGTAAAGCTGATTCTGATTTAGAAGTGGAAATTAGTAAATATTTGTCATTTTTTTATTATAAAAAAAAAGATTGTAATCACAGCCTTATCAGAGTAGTTGATGATTAATCCATCCCAGATGGTTTGACTTACTCATAGTAACATATCATACTTTGCATTGTATTTCATCTCTACTATTAGGGTCACATTTAAATGAACAAAATGAGTTTATTAGTGACAGATCTGCACTGCTCTGATTTTCACAGCATATTAGTATTAATAGCAAGTAGTCATTCTAAGGGTTCCGCTGTTTACCTGGAAATAGCTGGTCAAGATTATCCCTGCTTACACAACAATAGCTGAGGTTTACACTGAGCGGGGATAGGTTCTGTGGTGGCCTTAAGCTTGAAAGTGCCAGCAGACGTTTGTCACATAAACACAAACTGCAGTTGTACTGTATGTGTGACCCACAGAGATCTGTTGATGCAAATGTGCACACACACAATTGCACCCAGCCCATAAGTCCCTCTCCTGCAGAGATGTTTATCTCTTTAACTACATTTGCTCACACACACACCGACCTCTCTTGTCATTTATCTGTGCTTTTTCCACTGCTGTTAGTAAATAAATGACAGATCCGTTTTCTGGAGTGTAAATTCCCCTGAAACGCCTTCCTTAACCAACCTTTAGATCTGAAAACCAAACTGTCGACCTGCTGATTATTTGTCATGGTCACATGCTGCACCACTTGCTCATTGTCTTTCTGTGGGCTCCCCTCTCTCCTTCAGTCCCTCACCCTCAGCTAGGTGATGCAGGAAGGAAGTGGCTAATTCAGCAGCTTATAAAGGAAACAGGAAGCTATTTTGAGATTTTGTGAGGAAACGAGCGTCTTTTGTGCCAAATTTCTTTCCGCCCACTGTGGGCACCATTGTCTGATCCTTCACTGTCGTTTAACATCGTTTGTTGTTTCTACATTCACAAAAAATCTGGAACAGAAACTTGAAATTTGTTATGTCTAACATCTGATGCATAGAATACAAAGAGTAATAGGAAATGATTTTCCAAAAATGGTGACAAATCAGCCAGGAAAGTACCGGTATGCTAAAATGTCCTTGTGATTGTTGCCATAATAACAGTCTCCAGTCTACACCTATAGCTGCTATGATAGCGCATATGAAGACACTTTATCTAGAAATTAGGATGAAGGTTTCTGGTTGTTTCAACTTGAGAATGAGCTGCTGATTGATGGTTCTCTTGACTGATGGATCACTCTCCTCCACAGTGGGCAGACTCCAGCAGAGTCAGACTTCCAGCTGCTGGAAATAGTTCGGCGGCTGGAGATGTATGGCGTTCGCCTTCACCCAGCTAAGGACCGAGAGGGAATTAAACTCAGTCTGGCCGTAGCACACACCGGGGTTCTGGTTTTCCAGGTATAGCCTTAGATTACTGAGTCCATATTTAGCAAACTTTTAAGAGGAACATATTCATACTGTCTAAATATGCTAACACCTTTTCAGCAATATCTTAATGTGCTCATGTCACAGTGGAAGGTTTTCTTGAGTCAAGCCAGAAACATAGCACAGTACACAGTAAGCTATTTAAGTGCATGTTGGGGTTTAAATATATTTACTGCAACACAGCTTTAGTCAGCATTTCATGGTGTAATGAAGGACACATCTTGTTTCAAACACTTTCTGGCATCTTTCTCTGTTATGTCCCTTTTGCACCAATTTTTGTATGCTGGGTTACTATCCCAATTTTTTTTTCTTGTAAAGTGGAAATTATTGTCATAATGTCCTCTTCTTTATCCAGGGGTACACAAAAATTAACACCTTCAACTGGTCCAAAATTCGTAAACTCAGCTTCAAACGAAAAAGGTTCCTAATCAAGCTGAGAGCAGACCCTACTGTAAGTCTGTGTGGCACTGTGCTTCTCTTTTCCTTTGCCTTTTTTTATTCTTCTGTGTCTTTCCACTGTATTTATATCTGCCTCTGTGTCTTCCAGCAGAATACCCACCATGACACGCTGGAGTTTGCCATGGCCAGCAGGGATTGCTGTAAGGTCTTCTGGAAGATTTGCGTAGAGTATCATGCCTTCTTCAGGCTCTTTGAGGAGCCCAAACCCAAACCCAAGCCCATCCTCTTCACCAGAGGATCATCATTCCGGTTCAGGTCAGGAGAGGGTAGAAAGACAGGGACAGGAAACTACAACATCCTTTTCTCCTAATTTGTTTTTTAATCACCTGGTTTTCTCTCTTCCCATCTGCAGTGGTCGAACCCAGAAGCAAATCATCGATTATGTGAAGGACTCAGAGCTGAAAAAAGTTCCATTTGAAAGGTTAAGCTCCCTGTTTTTAGATTACTCCAACAGCAGAAACTGTGATCGCTGCAAGAGACAGAACCAACCCACCCAGCAACCATCACATTTATCACATTGTAACACCCACAGCAGTTATTGTTGTAGCAAGGACACAAGCCAGTTTTCAATTTTCTGTGTTTGCTGATTAGCTGCACATGGTTTGACTTCATCTGTCTGGTCTTTCCAGGAAACACAGTAAGATTCTGTCCAACAGCAGCATGTCCCCTCAGTCTTCTTCCTTCAGATCACAAGTGCCAAAAGAGGTACTATATCAACAAACACTGACTTGATGTTTATTGCATTTGTTTCTATTTCTTCTATTTCCCTTGTCGAGGTTTTGGACGTTTACAGGTTTTACTGCTACTCTGGAGCTGCTCTGTGGCCAAAGGTACAGAGCTGTTTGTCTTGAGCAGCTCCAGGGAGTGAGTATGTGTGAATGTGTGCATTCTCCCAGACTGTAAATAACAATTTATTCCAAGTCAGTCATTTAATTTAAAAAGCTGTTCTCTCCTTGAGCTCTCTTTTCTTTTTATATTCTGTGTTTTTCTTCTCTATGTTGTTTGCAGAGTGCCATGTCTGTCCCTTTAGCAGACCAGCCTGACTCAGCCAGACTGGGCCATCAAGCTGCATCTTACAGTTCAGATGAGCCAACTGCGGCCACAGCCTCCAGCAATGGTTTCCACGATATACTGACAGCACCCTGCTCAGACCCGATTCAGTCCAGACAGAACCACTGTGATGCTGGATTAGCACCGGACCAGCAGCTCCTCAACCCAGGTCCATCCTGCAGGGCAAACAAAGGCAGCAGCTCTTCTATTCCTTACATAGACTGCAGTGACATAGACAGTGAATGTGATGTGACAAAGAACAACAGGGTTACCAGGGGCGACAGCAATGCAAATGACAGCAATGAGGATGAGCCTGCTGCAAGTAATAATAAGCCTGGGGGTCTGTTTGGGGCGATAAATGGGTTCTACCACACCAATCATCAGGGGCTGATGCAGCAGCAAGGTATGCTGAGTAATGGAAACACTGTAGATCAGTCGATAGTGTCTAAGAAGTCTAGTGCGAGTCACGAGCTAACTGATGACGTTTTGTCAAATGGAGGCTCATGTCACGGGCGCCTCCCGCTCCACAGCACGCTGTTAGATGAGATCTTTCAAGGTCGAGGTGCTGCCATAAGTCGGCCACTACGAAGCGGGACTCGTAGTCAGTGCTCCAGCCCGGTGATCAGCAGCTTCCACCACCGCACAAACTCGCTCAGTCATGCTGAGATGACAAACGGTCAGGGTCGGCCGCGCTCAGCCTCAAACTGGGATGATGGTGGACATTGTTTCCGAAAACGTCCAGGAGCGGTCCCTGTGGAAACGCTCATTGTTCCACCCTCAGCCCCCCCACCAAACCACTTTTTTTTTCAGCACGGGTCCCTGTGGAAACTCTCATTGTTCCCCCCTCATCCCCCCCACCAAACCACTATGGCAGCTACTCTCCAATCACCTCAAACCGCACGCCACCGCAGTTTGCGAAGCCATACAACAACATGCGGAATCGCTCTGACACTGATCCATTCATTCTCAGCCAGCTGACATCCACACCCGTCCACCACCCTAGCCCACATCGCTCCAGGCTGCATGCACAAGCCCCTTGCTCTGCCCCAGTGGAGCGAAGAATAATAATTAATGGCAACCACGCAGGGAACCTCATGGTTCCAGGTCAGGCACGGTCCAGTATGGTGCAGCGGTTGTTTGGCCACCAAGGAAAGCCTGGTAACAGCCACAACAGCCTAAACCAGCCGGTCCAAATGATTGACGGCTCCACCAGCAGTGGCACTGATACCAGTGACACAGAGTCAGACACTGGTAGTAGCGCGCACAGCCAGCCGCTAATGTACGGCAACCCTGCTGCTGTCAGCTCCCTGAATGGTGTGAGCTCGTCCCCACTGCCTCGTAACAAGTACTCCTTCGGGAGTCTGCAGCTGGGGGAGGGGGAGGAAGGTGAGGGAGAGGAGGAGGAGGAAGGGTGTTACCACTTTAATGAGGAAGATGTAGGCGATCGACTTTTCAGCTGTTGAGCGGGGTGTGCATAAAAAGTAGCTGAGGAAATGAACCATTATTATGCATAATACATACGGTATAATCTGTTATGTAGCAGTTGTAACATCTTAATTTAGCATGTTGCAGACAAGCTGCTGCATTAAGATGGTTTTAACTTTTTAGAGAGCTATCAAAAACCTAACATGCAGCTGATTAACATGAATCAAGACTGAAACACATTCCATTCACATCTGATTGAATAGTGAAACAGAAGTACGTAGTTGCTGTAGTCCACCGCTTTGACAGGAGATCATTTTTGGAGAGTTGGCATTTATGACCTAGTATTATGTGGGCTTTTTAACAGTGAATAGAAACACCTTTAGATGAATCACTAGTGGTTTCTATACCGCATTGTCCCAGTTTTTGTACTGAATCTCAAATGCAAACCTCGTAGAACATTACTGACTTTCGTCTAATTCTACTCTATAAAAACTGTAGCTAGCTATTTGTCCAAAGGAGAATCAGTTAATGTCTGGAAGCAATTCTGCCAGTTGTCTGTGAAGTTAAAGAATCAGTCTGCTGTAGTTGTAAGGAAAACATTCCTTATAATGTGCCATAACTTAAAAACTGTATATTCACTGTAGAGGTGTGTGCAGATGAAAAATCCAGATTATGTAGGGAAGTTAGGAAATTATCAAACAAATCTAAAGGAAAACCTTCATGTGTAGAACTGTAGTTTTTGTGAGGGAGACATTTGTACAAATTGTCCTCTTTTGTTCTCCAAAAATAGTTTGATGGCATCGCAACAATTCATGTCAGGCTGTTCGCTTTAGGGGGAATTATCGTTCTGCTGATTGTAGCTCACTTCTGTAAATGAGGAAATATATACATACATACACACACACAAAGTGTTGAAACAAACAAGGTAATTTTTTAATAGGTGACACTTGGCTGTTATATAAGCTGTTGAATCGAGCAGGATCAGAGGAAGAAGCAGTTTTTAGTCATAACGCTTCCCTGTTTGTAGTGTCCTAATGTAGAACTTTCTCTAAAATCACAGACTTTTTAAATTATTTAGCTGTTGTCTTGTGCAATAGAAGTGCTTTAAGATAATTGCTGGAGTTCATTAAGGGAATTTAGTGGGAAGTAATGGAGGTTTAAAGGTTAAATTCAGTTTTTAAAGCGTTCTGTGAGAGTTTGGACTGTGCTCGATCACAAGGATAACACAAACTGAGGTATTAGTCTTTAATTGTACAGTGTATTTGAATGTTCGTGTAGAGAATGGATTATTCTTGCTAGAAAATGTTTTTAATGTTTAAGCTACTGGGATCTGTTGGAGCTAATGGCCGTTCTGCCTTCTCAGGAGGTTTTGGCTGAGCTGACGTCTTTTCCTTCTGAGGACACATTCATGCTTTCAGTCCATTTCTATCTGTCTATTCTGAGCAACGTGCATTGTAACGTGGATGTTTGTGGTACAGACTTTGTAGTAATTCTTTTTTTGCATTTACCATTTATGGAGGTATTTGAATATGTTTGCATCAATCAAAACAGAGAGAGAATTAGCATGAGCCTAACCTTTATTTTTGATAGTAACTCATTTCTACTTATGCATTGTATATGCTGTCGTCTGGTCACGGGCTGTCTTCAGTCTTTATTTCCTTCTGTTGCTCTTTTCCCTTTTGTTTACAGTTGTAAACACAGTAAACAATAACCACCTGCCATCGTCCTTAAACCTGTCCGCTTTGCTTGGCTTGGCCCCTGGCATGCACACCAGCCACACACACAGAGCGGTAATTCACTGTTATTTCTCACACCCTTTGGACACTGTTCTCTCTTCTCTTACAATGCTGTTAAGTGGAGGTGTGCTGGACTCCCATCCCCATCACTGTCATTTGCCGGCTGTCCGCTCACTACAACATGCTATTTCGTGTTCTCACTGCAGCACTGAACTGGGGCATACTTTGGTGAAGCTAATAAGAGGAAACAGATCTTCACTTTTTCACTGACATTTCAGTGAATTAAGATGGGATCCTTAGTGCTCCCTGAAACTCTGAAGTCAGGGGATCAGTCTAGGAGGTGACTTAACTAGAACTAAATGTCATCAAGATGTTATTACCTTCTAAAGTCAGAAGAAGTTGTGCTTCCTTGGAGCTACTGTACTGCTCCTTGAAACAAATGCTCATGCTTTGTAAATGCACTGTTTTTAAGCTTGTTTCTGGGGGACACTGCTCCTCACTGCTGTTTTCTCACTGTTTTCTTTTTTGTTTTTTTACTTTGAATGCATGTTAACCAGACAAGCAAAGGCCCTGCTTTTCTGTCATTCTGGTCTATTTTTTCTCTCTTTGTCACTCAATGTTTCTGTCATTGGATATAAAATGGTTCCAAATGTTTGAGAAGAATTAGGTGCAGTACAACAAAACCTCTAAAAATGTGTAGGTTTACAGTTTTCACATAGGTTTTATACAGTTTTCATGTTGTTGTCATTGCTGCACCTTCATGGTTAATTAACTGCACCATGTCTTTCTCAAATATTTAGAAATCATTTGTTTTGCCCCAGGTTTTCTCACACAAGTACGACACGGGTTTGACTCAGCTCCAGTGCTTTTCTAACAGAGTGGGAGGGTGAAGGTAGACAGACAGGTCAAGTTAAGCTTAATGCAAATGTAAGTGCAAAAAAAAAGATATCTTTGAGAGACATTTTATTTTGTAAGGTGTGAAAGTCAGAGTATTGTTAGATGTTGGACACACACATACACACACACACTGGAGTTGAGTCCACCTTGTCTTCCCATTCACTGCCTGTCACTAAATAGCACTTGCAGCAAGTCGCTTCCATTGACGCTTTTTGTAATTTTATTGTACTGCAACAGAGATCGGTTGTGATTTTGTATAGTAATTTGTAAGTTAATGGAGTTCATCAGAGCCAGACTGGGTAGATGAATTTTAAATTAAAAAGTAAAGTGACTGTAGTTTCTTCTGTGATATACACACTGTAATGATGTGGTTGTGTTGGGCTGGTACTAGGCTGCTTAAAGGAACAGGTTGGCATTTTAGGAAATGCACTTGTTTCATTTTTTGCTAAGAGTTAGATGAGAATAACACTCATGTCTGTACACTAAATATGAAGCACCAGGCTTTCTGCCTTTTAGCAGCTCTGTACAGGATAAACTAAGTATAAAAATATGTTGTTTAATGGGGTTTTTCTTTTGTTTGTCTGTTTTGACATAGCTAGGCTAGCTGTTTCCTCCTGTCTTCAGCCTTTATGTTAAGCTAATTGCCTCCTGGCTGTAGCTTCATATTACCACTACAGACATGAGTGCACTATCAGTCTTCTCATATAAGTCTCAGGAAGAAAGTTGGCAAGCACATTTCCCAAAATGTGAAACCATTGTCTTTTATTTAAAATGGCATCAGGTGGCGTTTTAGCGTCACATCTGCGCTTCTCCTTTTGTTTACCTACAGTAGCACAGTTTTTACTGACTTCTTCTGAAGGAATAAATGGGCTTTGTGGCTGTTCTTCTAATTTAACAATCTAAGATGGGTAGCAGTTTTAGTTTGCATGTCCTGTTTTAAGTTAATTTCACATGGGCAGCAGCATGCATTGTAAGTAGAGTGACAGGCTTTGCGACACTTTTAAAGCATAACATTAGAATAAATACCAAAGGTGCAGAGAACAAAGTGCTGCCAATTTAGCTGAGGAACTGCCAGAAAGTCTTTATACTCCTTTACAGAAATGGCCTAAATTCATACTGACTTGCAGGTTTTCTGTCAATTCTGTAACACTGTATTCCTGCAGACCTGTCCTTTTTTATTTTCATCACAAAATACTTGTGGAATACTTTTTTTTTTTTTTACTTCTCTGAGGTCTTTTCTTTACCCTCATCTCTCTTTTTAACACTGTAACTGATTGTGTCCACTAGATATGAATAAAAGCAACCCTGTAAGCTGGAAGAAAAGGGCCTCCAGAATTTTCTGCAGAGGGAACCCGTCTCCAACTTCCCCTGTCCCACCCCTCCCACACCCTGCTTGAACTGTAACCCCCTCTTCATGTTGTACCTAGACTGTAGAGTAGTGGCTGTTTGTTGTGTTCAGCATGTGTGCACATGGTTTGAGCTGGTTTTGTCTGAGTCTCATGTTTCCCAGCTTGTTGTTCCACCTGTGCTTTTTGTTGTGGTAGTTTTCCGTTTCTGTATGGTGGTAAGTTCTTTTATAGCACCCGTCAGATCTGCACTCAGTGGTTGCCATGGTTTTACCCATGATCCAGTTTGGTGTGTAACAGTGGACTCTTTGGAAACTTTGCACCTGGGCAAGTATATGGTTACAGCCATTTAGTTGACCTCTGTAGTGATTCTAGATGTAGTGACAAGTAGGTTTTAGCTACTTTACAGTCAGTCCATACTCCAATTATAGAGATGATTTTAGCCAAACTATCACATTTCTGTAGACGATCGTAGCTATAGTGCATTATAGGGGATATTGAAAGACTGTTATAGTATTCATAGATTGTCATAGTCATTACATTAGAGACTACAAATGTATCTTTACTCATAAGCTTATTTATTTCAACTTGACAGCTTTTTAAATTGCATGCTTGCATTATTTCTCTTTTTACTTACCCTTATAATGCACTGATGGGGCCTTTCTCTGGCAAATCAATTAATCCTTAGCTTTTTACTAACCATGTACTTAACATTCCTTTTTAACATTCATTTAGTTAAGAAACCAAATAAAGAGTAGATGCAGCCTCGCTCTGATTTCAGGAATTGTGTATCTTTTGTCATGTGGCGACCTGCTGGAACATAACTGCTTCTCATTTTAAGTCTTGACTCGTAGTTTAACAGTGATTGTGTAGGACTGGCTAACCTTGAAATTCATTGCCATACAGGGTGGTTACGTTTTGAGACATTCTGGGGCTAATATGTTTTAGGAAAACAATAGTTTGAATTAGAAATCTTTTCATCCACTGCCAAGTGTCTGAGGAAAGAAGGAAAATGCTGCCTGAATAATGAAATGATAAGAAAGATGAATACGCAATGGCAGTGAATTTCACGACAGTATTTGAGTGGCTTTTTATATCATACAGAATCTGCTTTAACACCTTCCCTTATCCTCTTCTACCATCTTCTCTCTTATATCACTCATTGTCCTCTTCCTCTGCCCCCCCCCCTCCTCCTTTTTCCCATTTTTCTCTCCTCCTCCAGAAAGTCCTGATTCAGGTGACTCTCCACCCAGAAGTCCCCATATGGTAGTTAATGGCAATGGTTTGGTAAACGAGCAGGTGAAATGCAGCACCGGTGTCCTGGGTCAGAGTCCTGAGAGACAGCAGCTATCACCACTCACCAGCCCGCTGCTCACTGAAGCTGGCTACATCCGCAATGATGATGAAGAGGAGGCCAGGAGGAAGGTGGGTATATAGACAAGGAGAGGTTGCAGGCTACTATAGAGAAGGTCTTATGTTTTGTTAACTAAACCAAAGACCAGAAACTGTCTTAAGAATGATCAGCTTTTTCCTTGGCAAAAAAAATTGTCATGTATTAATATTGCAGGATCTCGTCACACCCTTATTTGTATACAGATCAGATTTTTAGAAGCCACTTGGATTGATCTCATCTTTCTGTTTGCATCCAGAAGTTCCCCACAGACAAGGCCTACTTCATAGCCAAGGAGCTGTTGACCACAGAGCGGACCTACCTCAAAGACCTGCAGGTCATCACAGAGGTAAGGATTTCTAAGTTGCAGAAGCTACTGGAACGAGCACGGAATCACAATTTTAGTGAGTATCTGTCCATTCAGTTTAGCCTTGTTTAAGTGCAAGGCCATTCTCATCTGGCTGGAGGAGAGCTATTTGTAAAGTCATCTGTGTTAAGACCAGAAGCTAGTATGTCCAAGTGTAAACACATTCCCTAAACTATACAGCCCAGAGACTGTGAACCAAGGTTAGTCCTGCAGTAGCGAGTCAAAGCTGGTTATTTCAAAGCCTGAAGTTTGAGACACCAACTTAAAATTGGTCTATTTAGGACAGTGAGTGAGAGCAGGTTTGTGAGGTACATATTGAACAAACTACAGGGTGCCAAAAACTAGCTGGTTGCCTGTTCTGCCATGCGGCATTAATATTACGTCGGGTTACTAGAACTATGCAGGATCTCTGTTCCAGTACTTGGACCTCCCATCCTGACTTTGATGTGCACTTAGTTTGACTCAGGACTGAGGTTCAGCGTCTGAGGGTTTATGGGCATTTTTCTTGTGCAGGACAGATAATGGATGAAACTACAGCTTCCAAGTGAGCATGTTAAAGTTTCAAGCACTTTTTAAAGGACAATCACCTTTTTGTTTTTTCCACAACCAAGCAATTTATGTGTTATAGTTCAAATATAGTTTATTTGCTGTTTATGAGCACTATTAGCTCCCGTTAGTTTACTTGTAAAACCACTAAAACCAACACACTCTGCGTTCATATGCACTGTACCATGTCTGGATGCTTAATCTTGGAATAAAAATGCATCTTTGCATGGGTCAGACTGTCTTTCTGTTTGTGATTCCACTTTGCCGTCCGTCTGTTTTTACTGCCTGTTACTAACAAATTGGGGGGGGGGCCCATCACCTTAATATTACAAAGCTGACTGTGACTTCAAAAATCTCATTTCCTCCCTTTTGTATCTTTTTCTCCATCCCAGCTGTTTTTCTAGTTGATGCCCTATTTGATGTGGGAGGAATGCATGTGCTGACAGTTTTTAAAAATGTTTAAATATTTTCTTTGGCTGGCATCACTGGCGATCCCACACCCTTTCTTCTTTTTTGCCTCCTTCCGGTGTGTCACCCTTCCTCTCCCTCCCACCACTGTGGAACAGCTGGACGGCTCCTGTCTGCACCAACTGTAGTAATTGTGCGTGATTTACGTTGAGCGGAATATAAGCCCCTTGTGTCAGGAGTTGTAGTGCACTGACCTGGGGTTTAAGAGGATCATATTGAGTCTGTGTGTGTATCTGATTGATCCCCTTGGTGCAAACTAATGTCATTGTGCTTTCAAGTCAAATCCCTTCTCCTACTACTTTTTAAGCTACATTGATGCCATTGTCATCTCAAAAATGATTTCATAAATGAAGAAGAGTTTGCATGTGGTTATATATTATTCTGACAATTATTTTCTCAGTTGGATGAATAGTCTTTTGAGCTATGAGTATCAGGAAATGGCAAAACATCACAACTTCCAAAAGTTCAGTTTTTGAATTGCTTTTTGTCTGATCAACCAAGTAAAACCCAAAAATAAGAAATAAATATTTAAGACGGAGAAAGGTTCTAAATTGTCACAAGTGAGAACCTGAAAATTAAAAGATGATCAAAATAGTTGCTTTTGCTTTTAGTCAGTGATCAGTTAAACTGATTAAACTTATTTATGCATTTACTGTCAGATATAATCTTAAGGACCCTCCAAACAAAGTCCAAAATCACTCAAATTCAGGTTTCTAGACATTTGGCCACATCCAGACAAGAAAGGCCTAAAGTTGTGATGATATTTTTTTCACAACTGGAAAATATAGTTCAATTCAAAAGTAGTTTGAGATTAACACTGAGCTGAAATTGCTTTATTTGTTGCAACATAAGCTCAAGCTGTAACTGATTGTGTATTTCTACCTGTGTGTGTGTGTGTGTGTGTGTGTGTGTGTGTGTGTGTGTCTGTTGTAGTCCTTCCAGGGTGTTGTGGGGAAAGATGAGGTCTTCCCAGACCCTGTGAGGAACATGATCTCTGCCAACTATGACCCAGTCTACAAGTTTCACCAGGGATTCCTCAAAGACGTGGAGCAGCGGCTGGCGCAGTGGTCAGTGTCTCTGTTTAGTTACACAGAAAGCTAAAAACACATATTTGACTATAACAAATAACCCAGCTTTGGGGTTACGCCAAAAAAAAACTTTTTGTGTTCTACATTTTCATTAACTTCCTTTAACCTGAAACCACTGGGAGAACTGAACAGTTTGCTACAGTACAACTTCTCATCACTTCTAAGTCACTGCATGGGAACTAATGTGCACACTTCAAGTCCTTATTTCCTCCTATGGTAATCTTCTGTGGTACTTTATGTAATGACAGATGAGAGAAAGACACACACAAACCATGATTTTAGAAAGGGCCCGGGCACTTGCTGTTAAGATGAGTGGGATTGTGGGAATTGATTGACAGCTTTCCAGTCACCTTGTAGCAAAACATAGGTCTGGCCTGACATCTACTGGTAAATGAGTGTTACCAATGAATCTAACTCAAATATTGACTGTCTTTCTCAGGGAGGGTCGATCCAATGCTCACATAAAAGGAGACTACCAACGAATTGGTGATGTTTTACTGAAGAACACTCAGGGTTTGAGGGTAACTGTAACCTCCCTTTTGTTATTTCTGCTTGCACAATATCTGCTGTAAGAGATTTGGATTACAGGTGTAGATTTTGTGGATTCTGAAATACGAGCTTACATGAAGGCAGGAAGTGAAGCTGTTAATATTTCGGTTGTATCTTGTTGTTTGATCTCTCCTTCTTCCCTTTACGTCTGCAGCTGTTGACGATTCATCTCCAGAAACATTCAGAGTGCCTGGTGGAACTGGAACGGGCCTGTAGGTAGGTGTGCCACAGAACAAAACAAGGAGAGGCCAAAGGTTAGAGCACATGTGTCAAACTCAAGGCCCACGGGCCAAATGTGGCCCGTCACGTCATTTTATGTGGCCCGTGAGAGCTTAATAGGTGCAAATATATACTAAAATAAGTATATTCTGCTTTAAAGCGTGCATTGACCATAAACTACATCTCCCACAATGCATTTAGATTGTTACACGCGAAGTAAGGGCATCTCTCCACTTTAAGAGAAATCTCTACAAATGATCCCAAAATGTCCAAGAAAAGAAAAATCGCCCACTTTCCTGTTTGTCAGAGCATCTCAGCCTCAGTTCCCGGTGCTTTTTCATGTGCTCAGTTGGCTACCAAACTGAACCGGTTAATGAATGAGTTGGATCGGCGCTTCTCTGACTTTAAAGCACAGCACTTTGGTTTTGCCATCTTTGCCGATCCTTTCACCGCCGACGTCTGCAGTGCGCCCCATCACCTTCAGATGGAGTTCATTGAGCTTCAAAGTGATAGTGGCCTGAGAACAAAGTTCCAAGATGCTGCAGTCAAGGACTTTTACCGTCTACTGCCCCCTGGCTTGATGCCACAGCTCCGACTTCATGCTGCTCGTGTTCTGTGTATGTTTGGGAGCACCTATCTGTGCAAACAGATCTTTTCAATAATGAATCTAAACAAGACCAAGCACAGGTCACGCATCACTGATGACAACCTCCACACTGTTTTGTGGATTGCCTCAGCACAAGACCTAAAACCAGACATTGACACACTGGCCAGGGGACAACGGTGTCAGACATCTGGCCAGAAAACACAAACAGCTAAGCATTTTTAAAAGCCTGAATTAAAATAGAATGTATTTCAACCAAGACTAAGAACAGTAGAATATATGTGCAATTGAATGATTGTGCTTGCATTTAGTTTTGTGTTTATTTTCATAACATGATCTATGGATGTGGATGTGTGTGAGATGGTGTCTCTGGGTGAGGAGGGATCTACTTGGTGTGTTCAAGGACAGGCAGCATCACCTCATTGTTGTTGTAAAATGCTGCTTCTGTCACACTTGTTGGTTGTACCATAGTTCTGTCCCCTTGACTGTGACAAAAAAAGTTTTGAATAAAATCATAGCTTGTTTTTGATATTTTCCCAATTTACTTGAATAGTTTGATTGTTGATGGATGGAGTAATGTGGGTTTCTTATACCGAACATTTATTTTTACATCTATGCAAATGCATATGTAATATTTGTAACTTGAATAAGAAATAAATACAGAAACAGTTATTTAACAATATGATAAGGAGAAGTTTAATTTATTTTAAATGACATTACATTTAGTTACATTTATACTGTTAATCTGCCCTTTGAGGGCAACCATTATGCTAATGTGGCCCTCAGTGAAAATGAGTTTGACACCCCTGGGTTAGAGGGAGGCATTTAGCACCGTCAGTAGGCCAGGATAAAAGTGTTTACCAGTCGAACTTTGAATGATGACTGGTGAAAATGATAAAGTTATTAGTGTCAGACCTTTGTTACATTTAATGTAAAACTGGTATATTTAGTTATGAAAGATCCAGCGTTAAAAGACACAGCATTTAGCAGCACTTGATCCTTATTGTTGGCTTGAAGATGTGACGAAAACAAAACTTTTACCTTATTGGCTGTAGGTTATAATAGGTGATGACAAGCAGGTGTAAGCTAAGAAAAACGTAAAGAAGTAAAGTTAAATCGGATATTTTTAACTTGAATCATTGTAGGAGCATTTTGAAAAGCAACACTTAGTGTTCCTCCCCTGCCTCTGTTCCTCAGGTCCAGTCGGAAGGTGGAGACTCTGTGTAGGGAGTTTGAGCAGCAGAGGGTGTGCTACCTGCCCTTCAACATCTTCCTCCTGCGACCTCTCCACCGCCTGCTGCACTACAAACTCATCCTGGAGAGGTTCTGTAAGCACTACCCGCCCACCCACGACGACTTCAGGGACTGTAGAGGTACGAGATCGGGTGCGTTTTCCTTGAAACCATCTCCACCTTTATGCTCTCATACATCTGTATTTTTTCCACCCCCAATTCAGCGGCCCTGGCAGACATCTCAGAGATGGTGCTGCAGCTTCAAGGTGTCATGATGAAGATGGAGAACTTCCAGAAGCTTCTAGAGCTGAAGAAAGATCTAACCGGCATCGACAGCCTCACCATGCCTGGGAGGGTCAGCAGCTTTACATGTATTAATGGGAGAGACGACACCTCAATGTCTGATAGAAGTTTATATGGTTTTTAAATAATAATTTCCATATTTGAGTTGAAAATGATATAACTATGATAAACAACCTCCACAATGGGAATTATTATAACAGCAGATAGTCCTGTGACCTTCTTATTTTGGATTTCTCTCTGTTGCTTTTGTATAATTTATAGTATGTTTGTGTTTAACTTACAGGAGTTTATTAGGCTCGGTTGCCTCAGTAAACTCTCAGGGAAGGGTCTTCAGCAGAGAATGTTCTTCCTGGTATGATCTTGTGCTTTTTTCCATGACAACTTCAAGAAAATAAATTGCATCTATCACTGACAGTGATGCAAATAATAGCTGTTCCTGTTCATCTTTCCTCAGTTCAGTGATTCCTTGGTGTACACCAGTCGAGGGATGACCCCGTCCAACCAGTTCAGAGTTCATGGCCAGCTGCCTCTCTATGGCATGACGGTATATAACTGTATTCTTTTTTTAATTTTTAAACCACAGTACTCTACTGCAAGACTGACTGGTGCAACAGTGAAAAAACTTGAAACCTGTTTTCACATGGCATATTGTTTCTGGGGTTGGCACATACAAATAACATTTATTTATTAGCTAATTCTGCCTCCATTGTAGAATTCAAAATGTCCAGGGTTGTTTGTGAACATACACCGATCAGCCAGAACATTCTGACCACTGGCAGGTGAAGTGAATAACACTGACTATCTGTTACAGTGTGTGGGGTATATTAGGCAGCAAGTCAACATTCAGTCCTTTAACTTCCATTTGTACTTTTCAAAAGATTAAAATGTATTAATGTATTTGAATCTTTGTTAAAATGGTTGAAAATGAGAAACACTGTCCATTGGTCTCTATGAAGAGAAAGAGTCAGGGGCTGTAGTGGTGATATCACACCTAGAGTGGTGAGGCTGTTGGATTGGTCTAAACAATTCTCTCTAACTCGTCCTCACGACCACAGTTAAGTTTTACACCATAAGTTTTTCACTGAATTGTAGACACATCTGTGCTCTTCCTGACAGTAGAACTGTGGAAACAAATGGATTCACAGAAGATGCACAGTGAGCTGCAGAGTGACATCAGTGCTGACCGACTGCCACACGGACTCCTATTTAAACAGTATTAGGCAGGTGGTCATAATGTTATGGCTGATTGGTGTATCTTGACAAATGTGTCAAGTGGGATTTATGCATGTAAATATAGTGTGTGTTTAAGTTTAAAGGTGATGTGTGTTTTTGCAGATCAGAGAAAGTGAGGAGGAGTGGGGAGTCCCTCATTCATTCACCTTGTTCGGGCAGCGCCAGTCTGTGGTGGTGGCAGCCAGGTAGACGCATGCACAGCTGAACAGCCCTGGTCATCATAGCGACACAAAGAGTTTATAAGGGACCACAAATGGGCTTTATAATTAGAATGTAATGAGAGAAATGAAGGTGTTAAGGAAAAGAAACTATTACAAGAACAAGCAAACTAAATGCCTAATAACAGAAACAGATGAGCTGTTATCAGAATCAGAATCAGCTTTATTGGCCAGGTGTGTTCGACACACGAGGAATTTGACTCTGGTACATCAGCTCTCAATGTGCAGACAGTAAACCAGCATAAGGCTGTGTGATATAACAAAATAAGCAGTATTTACAAGCAACAGAAAGTGCAAACAATGCAGAACAAGTAGTATGAACAGACAGTAATAATGCAGACAGCGAAGGACTGTTCTTTGAAATGAGATAAATAGGGATAAAAATAGAGTACTTAAAACAGAGAACTAGATACCTGTACAAGTCTGTATAATCTGTACAACGTATATATACACAGGTATTGCACTGAGGGTTATTGTCCAATCATACTGTCATTGGTTAAGTGTTCATCAGAGCGACAGCCTGGGGGAAGAAACTGTTCCTGTGCCTGGTTGTCTTAGTGCACAGTGACCTGTAACA